CCATGTCTGTGGATCTACAGACAAAAAAATACGTGGAGAAAAATGTGTCTGGGGACTGGAGAGATGGCTCAGCAGGTAACTTACTGCTTGCAGAGGACTCAAGTTGTTTTTGACACCATGTGTGGCGGCTCACTGTTACCAGGAGATTTGATGCCTATAACCCCCGTGGGAACCTACACACAGGCACAGAACATCTCTCCTCCCACCCCATGCACAGAGTTTTAGAAATAAGGTAAAAAGTTTTTAAACCTTTTTCTTGTCAGTTTCCTTAAACAGTGCAGTATAACAATTGGATTATATCAAGTATCATAAGTGATCTAGAAATGAATTAGAGGGATGTCCAGTTACAGGCACATACTATGCACTGTTTTATATGAGGAGCTTCAGCATCCTTGTGGTTAGTGTCTTCCGCCGGGGCGGGAAACCAAACACACCCGGACGCTCAGGAATGCCTACATTGTGTTTACACCTGAGGTTCCTAGCTGCCAGGTAAAAGAGGGCAGTTCTAGGGCGGCAGAAGCTGTTTGGGAGGCAGTATAGTCTAACGCTAACGCTCTGGCTCACTGTGGGAAACCTCAGGCTCCTACTGAGATGGCTGTGTGCCCCAAGTACATAAAGGTCCGGTGGCAGAAGCAGAACACGGTGGATCCCGTGTTTCCAACCTTGAAACCTGAGCTGTGTGTTCTGGATCTCTTGGTCTGATAAGGAGAGCTGTAGGCCAAAGAATGTTTCTCATGGTAACTTTGTCACATGGTCAGCCTGTGGGACTTAAGCCAATACTTCAGCTGGGGATGGAGCTGGCCTCCTGTGAACTCTGCGACAGGGGTGGGGTGGGAGCTTCTGTTACTAGGTTTCTTCAAGCTCATGATCCTCCTGCCTCCGCTTCCCAAGTTTTAGAGTGTTCCATCACGCCCAGCCTTTAATCAGCGGCTTCACCTTGAGACTCAGCGCTTTCGCCACTGTCCCGTCTTTCTGGTAGTAAACAGGCAGCATGTTGCCTGGAATGCAGCTCAGTGGTAGGGCACCTCCCTAGCATGGGCAAGACCCGGGGTTCAATCCCAGCATTGCAAAAAGAACTAAAAGGAAAAAGAAAGAACTTTTTAAAAAGTTACTAGAAGCCGGGGCTGGTGGCCTAGGCCTGTAATTCCAGGATTCAGAATAGTGAAGCAGATAGATAAAGAGTTCAAGGCCAGCCTGAGCCACATAATGAGAACTATAAAAATTACATATTAAACCAAGCTTGATAGCAAATTTCTCTAATTACAGCACTTTGGAGACTGGAGCAGAAAAATTCTAAGTTACAACCAAGTCTAAATTATATAGTTCCAGGCCTCCCTGAAATACACGGAGACTCTGTCTCAAAAACAAAACCCAAAATTACCAAACAGATATCTGCCGCACATCAGGCTATGTACAGGGCACTCCTCCCTATTTTACTTTTGGGAGAAACTGAGGCTTTTTCTTTATTTTATACACACAGGGGTTTGGTGTGTGTGCTTCTGTGTACCCATTGCCTGTGGAGGCCAGAGAGGGTGTTAGATCCTCTGAAACTGGATGGTTGTGAGCCACCATGTGAACTGAACTGTGTCCCCTGGAAGAACAGCCAGTGCTCTTAACCACTGAGTCATCTCTCCAGCCCCTTGCTTTGCCCTTCTCCTTCTTCTCCTCTTCCTCCTCCTCCTTCTTCTTCAAATTACACTTATTTATACGCACAGATGTGCACGCCCTGGAAGAGTTTAGAGGACAACTTTTGGGAGTTGGTTCTCTCTTTCCAAATGTGAGTTTGAGGGATTAAACTCAGGTCATCCTGATGGTACAGTCTCTTCACCCAGCAGAGCCATCTCCCAGCCTTTGTCTTTTGGTTGGTTGGGGACTTTCGTTTGTTTGTCTTGTTTTTCCTGTCTTTTTGAGAAGAGAGTCTCTTGTAGCCTGGTTAGGCATCCAACCGAGGCCAGTTCTGGAATCTGATGCTCCAGCCTTCACCTGAGGACTAAGGTTATGAACATGTACCACCATGCCTCAGCAGGGGTTTTGACCTTGCAAAACCTTGGAGCACATTTTAACCTGCCCTTCTGTTAGGAACCTGGGCCGGGGAAAGAATGTACTGGTTTCTTCTGGAACAGCCAGGCTCAGAAACCCAGGGAAGGAAATCTGAAACCAGATCAACAGGGACCAGACAAAGGCCTGAGCTGGCACCACCTGAGCTCTTCCTTAGGGACACAGGTGGCCAGGACTCTGGCTGCGTGCCACTGCAGAAACTCCACCTATTCAGGTGACTCCCTGGCTGTCCTGGCTGGTCCCAGGGGAAAAACACTCAGGAATAATTTGTCTTCACGGACTGATGACAAAGCAGTTGTTAGTGAGCCTTTAACAGAAAGATGCAGATGGGGGAAACTGAGTTTGGGGATGGACAGGGCCTTGTCCGAGGTCACACAGCGACGTAGCAGGAAAGTGAACGGAGATCTCCAGCCACCCATTGCTGGACTCTGGTCAGCTCTAGGATATAGAATTTATCCAGAATCTTGTGTACCACGGGACTTTCTCCCTCTCTCTCTCTTGCTATCGTTTAGGCAAACTATTTAGTGAGCGCCTAAGCTGCGAAGTTGGTGAAACTTCGCAGGGAATTGCATCTCAGGGAATTGATAGTGTAGCCCTGGGTATTAAAAAAGAGCCTTTCAGTACTGGAGAGATGGCTCGGTCCTTAAAAGCATTCACTAGCTGGTCTTCCAAAGGACTCGGACTCAATCCCCAGCATCCTCATGGCAGCTGAAATCACCTGTAAGTCCAGGTGCAGGCCCAGGTGCACACATAGCGCCTAGACACACATGCAGGCAAAACATTCATACTCAGAATAAAAAAAAAAAATTTTTTTTTTCTTAATTTAAACAAGAGTTTACAGATGAGGGCCTGCCAGCCGAAAGGCCAAGGAAGTCACCCATTGTATAACCTGACAATGGCTGAGCCAAGGCCAAATATGAGACTGGCTGGCTTCAAAGCTGCGTTCCACCGACTTCCTAAGAAGGCTCAGGGAGAAAGGGAGCCCAGAATGGAGGCAGGAATTTTTCTTTGTTTGGGCTTAGTTTGGTTCTTAACCATGCTTTTGGAACAGCGTTTCACAGCCCATTCTGGCCTAGAACTTGCTATGCTGCCTAGGATATACTCAAATTTATCAATGCTCCTGCCTCAGCCTCCCATATACTGTACTACAAGCATGAGGGGTGCTAGAGGGGTGTTGACATCGTCCTCTGTCCCTGCCTTGCTTGGGCAGTTTGCCTTCAGGGACGACATTCCTCTAGTGCGGCTGGAGGTGGCAGACGAGTGGGTCCGGCCGGAGCAGGCTGTGGTGAGGTACCGCTTGGAAACAGTGTTTGCCCGAAGCTCCTGGGACTGGATCGGCTTGTACCGGGTGAGAAGGACAAACACCCGGGGCTCTCAAGGAGGGAAGGGGCCTGCAGGCCCTCCGGGGTATCACCGGTCTGTCCCGCGCTTGATGTTCTGCTGCTGGTACTGGGGTACCACAGCGCTGGTGGCTCTCTCCCTAGGTGGGTTTCCGGCACTGCAAGGACTACGTGGCTTATGTCTGGGCCAAACATGAAGAAGCAGATGGGAATGTCTACCAGGTACTTACAAGGAGGGGAAGGTCGGAAGAGGACCCCATTGCCCTGGGCACACCAGGATTCTGTCTGGGGGGGAGGGAGTCCTGAGGCTGCCCCCTGGCCCCAGCTTGGGCCTCTACCCCTGTGTCCACCAGGTGACCTTCAATGAGGAATCACTGCCCAAGGGCCATGGAGACTTCATCCTGGGTTACTATAGCCACCACCAGAGTATTCTCATTGGCGTCACTGAACCCTTTCAGGTAAATGGATCGGACTACAGGGCCGAAGCTGGCCAAGAGGTCCCAGCCAGATCTTCCAGTCACCCGGCCTCACTGGGTCTGCCAACATGGAGGGAGGGGGTGGGCAGGCTGGATCGTGGGGCTGTCCCAAAGACCCGTGTTCTCTCCAGATCTCGCTGCCTACCTCAGAATCGGCCAGCAGCAGCACAGACAGCTCAGACACCAGCTCGGAGGGGGAGGATGACAGCACCCTGGAGCTGCTGGCACCCAAGTCCCGCAGCCCCAGCCCTGGCAAGTCCAAGAGACACCGTAGCCGCAGCCCAGGCCTAGCCCGCTTCCCCAGTCTCGCTCTCCGTCCCTCCTCCCGTGAACGCCGTGGTGGCAGCCGCAGCCCCTCCCCCCAGAGCCGCCAGCTGCCCCGGGTAGCCCCTGAAAGGGGTCACAGTAGTGGCAGCCGAGGTAGCAGTGAGGAGGGGCCCTCGGGGCTGCCTGGCCCCTGGGCCTTCCCACCAGCTGTGCCTCGAAGCCTGGGCCTGCTTCCAGCCTTGCGCCTGGAGACAGTAGATCCCGGTGGCGGAAGCTCCTGGGGACCTGACCAGGAGGCCCCTGACCCTAAGAGTCCGTCACCCAGCCCACAGGGCCGGCACGGGCTAGAGGAAGGGGGGTTGGGGCCCTGATGTGGGTAGGCAGATGGGCCTGAACAGCCTCGATCTGCCTCTGTCTTCCACAAACCTGCCTGCCTCTCTCTTGCTGCTGCTCCAGCCATTAACCACACCTGCCACTGTCTTGGCCAGGAGTGGCCAACTGGGGTTCCCCAAACTCAGTCCTGGCACCACCTCAACTGTGACAATCAGCAAAGCCTTGCCTGGGCCCCCATCTGGGATGATGGGGCGAAACCAGCAGATGTTCCAAACTCAGAGGTCATCCATTAGAAATTAAATTCTCCAGCTTCACCCCGGCTTCTTCCTGACTTGTCAGCAGTCTGCAGACAGGGTTGCTAGGAATTAAAGAGGCGAGGGAGTGACAGAACTGATATCGATTAGGCACCAGCTGTGTATGGAAACACGCCTCCTCCTCTAGTCTCCACCAAAATCCCGTGTGCTCAGTGCCATTCTCCTACCCATTTCACAGATGGGCAAACTGAAGCCCCCAAGAGGTCCCACCAGCACCTCTGGCTGTGTGTTAGAGGACGAGAACGTTGGTTGGGTGTATGTTTATTAATTCACTCCTCAGCAGCCCTCTGAGGTTGCTCATGTTTACAGCTCCCCTTTTCAAGCCTGGGAAGGGGTGTGACTTAGACAGCAGCAAGCTTGCCTCACAACCCCAGGCTGAAGGGTTGAAGCCCTGGGTTCCATCCGTAGTGCCGCATAAAACTTAGTGTGATGACCTCTGCCTGCAATCCCAGCACTTGGAGGTAGCAGAAGGTGGATCAGAAGTTCAAGGCTAGACTCCTGTACATAGCAGAAGCTAGCCTGGGCTACAGTGAAATCCTGGCTCAGACAAACAAGCAACAACAAAAAGCCTCCTTTTCCCAGAGGAGGAAAGGAGGGCTCACAGAGTGGAGGATGGGGGCCCCTCACCCCAATTCCTCAAGGGCATAGAAAGATTTCAGTCTATAGTTAGAGCAGGAAGATTAGTTCAGGCCAGGAAGGGCACAGAAGCTATTTAAAGGGGGGGGAGGGTGTCTTCCTGGAGGAGATGGGAATGCACTGGCCATCCTGCATTCGGATATGGGCATTTTTGTTGTATCCCTGGTTTCTCACAGCTTTAGGCCTCCCTGCCAAGAACTTCGATTCCTGGAGGCAGGTCTTGAGGCATGTTAATTTTGCAACAGAGACAGTCAGGTACCTGTTTCTGGTACCTCCTGGGACCCCCGAAATCAGTCACTCCCCATTTCCATCTGTGTATGAAGCTACCCAGCAAGGTCTAAACCCAAGACATCAGAATAGCCTCCTGAATACCACCTCCAGGCACGGTAGGGTTGTGTCACCAGATCAAGCTCATCCAGGACAGTAGGAGATGTGGCCCAGCATCTGGGCCTTCTGTTGTCCATGAGAGCCATGCTGTCTGTTGAAGAAGAGGTCAAGTCTCTCAGAACACCTCAATGCCAGGAAGGAGGTCCAGGCTGGTGCCCAAGCTGCTGTAACTGAGGTCATGAGCTCCGGAATTTCTTCTGCCCACTGAGTCTCCAAATGGGCTGGGTTAGTTGCAGACACTGACTGTAGAAGGATGTGGAGGTCCCCGGGGGCTCCAAAGGCCACACCTGAGCCCCACCTGTGCCTTTATCCCAGAAAGGAAGTTGGTTCTGCCGAAGCCTCTGCAAGTGCTGAGCAGACACCTGGATGGCCCTGTGGTCTCCGGAGCAGCTGTTGGGAGACAAGGGGTCAAAGCTAGCACCATCCCACCGGAGAGCGGAGGGGTGCAGGCCAGGGTCACCAGCAAGGCAGAGAGGGCAGAGTTAACCCAGGCTAGTACCCAGAGGCCTATATCCCACTACTGGATGGTTGTGGAAACCTAAGGCGGTAATTGAGCCTCAGTTTCCCCATCTCTGTGTCTGGCAGGTCTTGAGCTATGTATAGGACATCCGCTATTTCCTTGGCTTCTACAATCTTTTTGTTTTTGTTTGAGATAGTATCCTATGATCCAGTGTATCCTAGACTGGCCTTGAAACTACTCTCTATCCAAACTGGGCCTCAAGGTAGATTCCTGCCTCAGCTTCCCAAGTACTGGCCTTATAGGCATGTACCCCACACCTAGTTTTCCTATAACCATTCTACAGGTGAGGAAGAAGAGGGTTGGAAAGGTGAATCAATTTATCAAGGACATACAAGAATTAAATCTCAGCCAGGTGCAGCAGTGTCTGCCTGTGATCCCAGCACTCAGGGAGGCAGAGGCAGGCAGATCTCTGTGAGTTCAAGGCCAGCATGGTCTACAAAGCAAGTGCAGGACAGCCAAGGCTACACAGAGAAACACTGTCTCAGAAAGAAAGAAAGAAAGAAAGAAAGAAAGAAAGAAAGAAAGAAAGAAAGAAAGAAAGAAAGAAAGAAGGAAGGAAGGGAAAGTTAAATCTCAGAACCCAGGCACATACTCCCCCTCCCCTAAGGATGGCTGCAGAGCTTGGCCCAGGTCAGTATGGGTCACGAGGATAATGACAAATGGAGATCAGGCCCCTCTGACCCTTACCTCGCCTTTTGTCCCAGGCACACAACTGGTTTCTATGTAGGCAAACCCAGTCCTTGGCAAAGGCCCCATCCCTCCTAGCTTTGCCATCACTCACCCTTTGCCCTCAGCACAGTCAGGTTGGGGGGCCAGCTTGAAGCAGGTGGTACCCAGGAGCTCCCAAAGCTTGTTGGTGCCTGCAGGTGGGCTGTGGCGCCTCAGGAAGCGTGCCAGACTGAGGGCAGATGCGGTCTCAGGCTGTGCCGGAACCTTGCTTGTGCCCCTGCATAGCTCTGGCAGCAGACGGCCCACCCCCAGGTCCACCCAAGAGGTCTCACCGGCGGGTGCAATTGCAATGGAAAAGGGGTGCCTGGGCACTGTTGAGCAGGTGGAACTTGGTTTCCTGGGGCTTGATCTGGTGTTCACACTGGTCCAGGTGGCGAAGGCTTCGGCAGACTCGGTGGACACCTGGGGGCAGATTCGATAGCTGAGAAAGCCCAGTCCACCAGGAAGGCCTCACCTGGGCCTGCCACCATCCAGGAGACACACCAGGACATGGTTCCACGGTCCTCTTCTGTCTCACAAAATGTCATCCATATAAAATGAGTCCTCCCCCCAACCCAACTGCCCTGCCCCCACAGTCATTGTCTGGGGAGCCCAGATAAGGCTTCCTGGACTCAGAGACTACTAAGCTGAGTCTAGGAGAGGGAAAAGGAGAACAGGGCCTCAGACAGGAAAAGAGCACATGCAAAAGCCTAGTGACAAGTGCAGATCATGAGGACTTTGTTTTCGTTTCTGCCAGGCCTGAACATGGTAGCTGAGACCACGCATGTCGTAGATGAATGCTTTGCCACCGGATACATCCAGCCAGGCACCTCTAGCCCTTGCAGTCAGCACTTGAGGAAACAAGGGACTTCTGAAGCTTGAAAGTTCAGCCAGAGGGCAGAGGCAATAGGGCCTGACTGTTCCCAGTGTTGATACTTTCTCAGATGATGTCGTGAGAGGTGGGGGACTCGACAGGGCGTGGCATTGCCTAATTTATAGAATATGGAAGTCCTGGGGCTGGAGAGATAGCTCAGAGGTTGTGCTCACTGGCTGCTCTGCCAGAGGTCCTGAGTTCAAATCCCAGCAACCACATGGTGGCTCACAACCATCTATAATGAGATCTGGTGCCCTCTACAGGCATACATGCAAACAGAATATTGTCTACATAATAAATAAATCTTTAAAAAATATATATATATATGAAAGTCCTTTGTTATGGTAGGATCTGATGAAGAAAGTTGTGTTGCCTGGGAGGTTTTTAGAGCCCCTCCCCCCCAAAAGAGGTAATATCTATATTTGCACACAGAGGCAAAAACACCCTCCCCTTAAAAAGCTTGGTTTTAAGCTCACCTTGATGTTTTGGGCCATCCTGGAGGCCTGAATGGAGGGCTCCTGGCTGGGCTCTGGGTATCATATCAAGCCTGAAGTCGACGGTAGGGGTCCGGAGGGTAGTGGCTGGTAGTTGTGTCTGCTGTGGGCCTCTCCTCTGGGGGTGTTTGCTGGGGATTGGGCTCTGGGGGCTGGGAGTAACTGAGGTGGCCACAGCCTTCCAGGAGGCATTATAGTAGGTCCTAGGCTGAAGGTGAGCAAGGGGCACTGAGCCGTATGCCCTGCACCTGAGAGGAGAAATTTGAGGCAATTAATGACCCAGAATTCCTGTCTGCCAGTCCCATCTCTCATCCCACTGTGTTGTGGGATATACCCCCAGAAGGGTCCAAACTCCTGGCCCTGTCCTAAGGAAAGGACAAATCGACAATGCATAGTTCCTAGAGGACAAACAGACCTCTCTCCCTCCCTGGTCATGGAGCCCAAGTTGCCCTGATGTCTGGGCAAAGGCTTAAGTAGGGCAGCCACATACCCGCCCCACCAGTGCCATGCCACACAGGCCTCCTGCTCCTTCAGCACAAAGCAGGGGATCTCCAGCACGTTGAAAAAGGCCACGCCCATGATGTCAGAGATGGAGTCACGCTGGCTCCTTAGGCATTGTTGGAACCTGTCCCCAGAACCAGAATTCGGGTCTCAGGACCCCAGAGAGCCTCCTGGAACCCTCTGCAGCCCACCCTACCAGACGATCATTCATTTTCTCGAGCCTCAGTTTTTGCCCACATGCACCAAGGGTGGTAGGGAGAAAGATCTTAGGAACTCTCAGCCTAGTACCTAGACCCTGGAACTGGGTAACTGTGCTCTGTCCCTGAGCCCCGGGCCCTCTCTGACTGCTGCCAACCTGGCATCACAGTCGCAGTGAGAGATGGTGTGAAATCGGAAGTTTCGGATGCCATAGTTATACTGCAAGGGTGAGATGGTGTGTGGGCATTGGTCATGTTCCCGGCAGCAGAGGTCAGGGCCATGGAACATACCTGCATGGAGAGACGGGGGAACAAATTAGAACAGGGTCCTGGATACTGTGCCCCAGCTACCTGGCATAGCAAACACTCATTCTCATGAGCAAGTGGCCTCAGGACACTTGCTCTCCAGATGCAGGACCCTCATATTGGCACAGCAAGGCGCTGGGTGGTCAAGGTGCCATACCCAGGCCAGGGCCTCCACCAACACCCCTTACGACACACAGCAGCCCAACCACAACCCAAACGCCCTTTATGGGTGTTTCCCACAAGCCAAGCTTGCAGCAGCCCCCAAAGGGAAGTGGCCCTTTATCTTACAGATAAGGAGCTTGGAGGCTGCAAGAAGTGTCAGCTTGAATGCTCCAAGCTGCGAGCTGAACCCAGGTGTCTGGGGCTCTTTCCACTAAAGCACCTCACGGGTGGGTAGACGCTGTTTAGAACAGCACAATCTGGATCCTCCCCAGCCCGCCTCCTCCCTCAGGTGGTGATTCATGAGGACTCTGGGTTTGAGCAGGACCTTTCCCATCCATGCCATCACTTAGATGTCCCACTCGTGTTCAACCCCATTTTACAGGTTAAAAAAGTGCTTAAGTCACTTCTCTAAGGAAACAGCCCAGGAGAATGGGGGCCAGACTGGAACCCAAACCCCCGTCCCATATACACATGCCAGACACCCACTCCCACTCCTGTGGCTCACCCAGTTCTGAGGAATTCCCAGCAGAGTTCCCAACTCCACACCACAGCGTGCCAGGAATGGTCCAGCCTCTTCTCCTCCGAAGGTGCTCTCTGTCAGGTGCTCCACTCTGCCCTGTTGCCCGCTTCTCCCTGGCTCCTGGAGGACTCTCCTTAGACCCTTGGCAGGCCTCCCACTGGCTCTGCAGGGTGGCCAGGGCCCTCTGCAGCTCGGGTCCAGGGGTGTGGATGAAGGAGTGCTCCGAGGGCTGGCGAGTACAGATGGCCCTGAAAGCTGTAATGAGCTCAGGCCCATCCTGCCTGATACACACTCGCAGCCTGTGGTGCCCATCCCAGAGCGCCTGGAATAGTGCCAGGCCTTGAGCATCTTTGCCCAAGAAGCTCAGGGAGCCCAGGGGGTTACCAGGGATGGGCCTGACCAAGTGGCAGAAGGTACTGTCCCAGTGAAGGGTGAGGGAGTCCCCTGAAGCAACCCCTAGGAAAACCAGCACCCCTAGCAGGACCCCTAGAACCCCCATTCTGACCTAGCCCAGCCTGGTCAGACAAAGGCCCCTGGATGCCTGCCTTTGGCTGCCCGCGAGGCAGCTGCTGAGGAGAGCAGAGCGGAAGAGATGCCCAGCAGGCCCTGGGTGTCGGGCCAATGAATGGAGCTGCGGGAGGAGGAGGAGGAAGGCTGGTGTGTGGGGTGATATTGGGCTTGTAACCGAATCCACCGGCTGGGCAGGCTGCTGATTGGCTGAGAAATGCATTGCTGGGCCCACGCCTCCACGCATCCCTGCCCTCAGCGCTGTCCAGTCACCTGCCGCAGGCCGGCCTGGAAAGATGCATCTGTGGGGGCCAAAGCCTTGGGCTGTGAGGGTGGGAGATGGAGGAGGGAAGTCAAGGGGGAGCTCTGTCTCCTTTGGAGCAAGAGAGCAGCGACTTAGAGGAGACCCTCGGAACCGGGCCTGTCCTCCCAACCCATTTGCCGCTGCCACACCCAAGTCTATGAGATTGGCAAGAGGCCACAGGATCTCAGGCAGGGCGGGTGAAAGAGGTGAGAACAGAGCTGCGGCACTGGGGCCCACCCTGGCAGTTCCCAAGTCTACTGGGAAAGGGAGATTGATTCTGGTGCTCTTTCCAAGTCCTGGTTCTCAGAAAGACTATTGGCATGCTCCAAAGAGAGTACCCCCAGGACCCCTGGGACTCCTGGGGCTTCAAGCACAGATCTAGTCCAACACCAATAGTCCTGCCTGATGGTTGGGACACAGAGCCAGAGTAGGACCTGAAAACAACCTGGAGCAGGGCTGGCACCGAGGATTTGAGAGTTAGGGTCCCCCAGATAAGCAGAAAATGGCTCAGGCTCAGGTCTGCACCTCTCCTGTTCTTGGAGTATGGCCACCGGGGGACCCAGGAGGCATCACGTGTCCTCCAAGAGACATGAGTCTCTCTCTCTATCACAGAGGGGACTATACTCGGCATGTCCCCAAGCCGATGTGTCACTCAGCTTCCAACCATCTGGTGAAACTAGTACTTACTATACACATCAGATAGACAAAGAAACACAACTGGGCGTTGTGGCGCACACCTTTGATCTCAGCGCTTGGGAGGCAGAAGCAGGCAGATCTCTGAGTTCTAGGCCAGCCTGGTCTACAAAGTGAGTTTCGGGACAGCCAGAGTGACATAGTGAGGCCTTGTCACACACACACACACACAAAACAAAACAAAACAAGGGAGAAAGAAAGTAGATAGATAGATAGATAGATAGATAGATAGATAGATAGATAGATAAAAAGATGGTTAGACAGAAACTGAAGCTCCAAAAGGATGGTAAAAATTCAAAGGATGCTCAAGTCCCATGGGTCTGAGAGAGTTTAAAGGCTGGGAATAGGGGCTGGCTGGGCCCAACACCCCCTCAGCCCCCATCCTACATTTTTCAGGAAGTCAAGTCCCAGCAAGTCAGAGTCAGAGCTGTGCTGGGAAGGGGAGCTCAGGGCTCTGCTTCAGGGGAGTGAGTAGTGACTGTCTCAGGTTGAGAGCCATCTTTGTGGCTTTAGAACTGGCACTGACCTGGGGAATAATAGCTGAGGACAATAAAAAGAGGATGGGTGTGACCTAGGTGCCAAACCCCTTTAAGGAGGTTGAGGCAGAAGGTGCGGAGGAGAGGAAGCAGCAGCAGCAGCAGAGAGAGAGAAGGTCAGGAGCACATCAAGCCAAGTTGAATCTTTCTGGGAAGAACTTTGGCATTTGTTCTTAAAACACACACACACACACACACACACACACACACACAAAACATTGTTGTGGTATTTTCTTTTGTCATAGGACCTGACATCCAGCTCATCTCCCTTTTCCACATTCCACACCCTTCCCTGCCCATCATCTGGAAAGATCAGACAGACTCAACTGGTACAGTGTGCCCCTGGCCTCAGACATCAACTTCTCTGTGCAACAGCTTCATCTCCTGCATGCCCAGAACAGTCTCTGCAATTACTCACAGGGTAAGACTCTCGACGCAGGCATAGCATCTGACATCCTAATGTTCACCAACACAAGCAGCCTAACTAAGAGAAAGCAACCCTAAGGTTTGGGGGCCACTGTGCCTATAGCTACCCAGTTTGGATGGGGACTTTGGGACTGTGGCTAGGGCACTGCCTCACTGGGGAACTTTGTCCTATCTGGGTCTCTGTTTTCCTCTGTTGCAGTGAGAAGTACTATGGGGAGGATAGTTGAGTTCTCTCCGTGTCTTGGCCCCACAGGAAAGCAGATCTGAGTGGGACAGGCCTTAAGGGAGGCAATTACTGGGTTTCTCTTCCGACTCCACCTGGGTGGCCACATCAGCCATTCTATAGGACAGGAGCTGTATCCTGTGTCCCAACAGAGTGTCCCTCAGAGGACAGAGGAGTCCAAATGAGTGGGATAGAACAGGGCGTAAGCTTTTCTCTGAGCCTCCACTAACCTGGGATGGAGCCTGATTCACAGTGGGCATCAGTGGGGAATAAGGAATGGACCCATTCTTTCCTGTCTGTATCGCCCCCTCCCCCTCTTTCTTCTTTGGTGGGGTCTCGCTAAAATAGCCCAGGCTAGTATCAGACTTGGAATCCTCCTGCCTCGGCCTTCTGAATGCTGAGATTACCCATGTGCACAGCACATTCCAGCTCCACTACTCTGCCGTCACTTGATTTCTCTCTCATATCACAGTCTTCCTATGGTCTCTTTCTAGCTACAGGCTCTGCCATTTCTGCCCCTCCCCCCCCTCCGTCATCTTCCCATCTCTGTGCCTGGATCTCCCCACCTCTTTCCATTTGTCTCCTTTCCTTTTCTTCTCTCCTACTCTTTCTGTTTTCACGGAGCTAGAAGCCAGGGGCTTCTACACACTAACCAAGCTGATACCATGCAACTACCAGCCCGAATTTCGTTACGGACACTTGGAGATTTGTTTTCGCTCAAAGTGCATTGTCTTCTCACTGGGCAATGACAGGGAAAAGCAGGATGGGAGCCTAGCATCCCTGACTTCAGTTCCTGTCTCCTGCCTACCTCTGCACAAAAGTGTGCTGATCATCCGTATCTAGAAACCTGAGATTCCTTTTCAGGCTAAAGGCACAGAGAGCAACGTATCCTCTTACTCTCACTTTTTTTTTTTACAGTGTCCTGTCCTGGGCCCCAGCCGTCCTGAACCTGGAGCCACCTTAGATTCAGGAACAGCAGATCCCCAAAGGCCAGACCACCTGGCAAATTATCCACAATTGTGGATAATCCTTCCAAGGCTTCACCTTGGACTAGGAATGATCTTCGACTGAGAACTGGTCTCAGACAAAGAAGGGCTTCTTTGGGCCACTATACCCACAGCTGGACGATGAGTCTCCCATACCTTGTGCAAGTCTGCTCAGGCGTGTAGACCTCTTATCCCAGTTCCTCCTCAACGCAGCCTAAAGCCCGTGTCAGCGCTCAAAGGTGAATTTAGGGGTAACTGACCTCTCACCTGTTCTTCCCAATGTGTTGCTTATATATCTTTTCTCTGCTACTCGCTGTTACTTATGTGTTTGGAACCTTTGTTTTATTTTGTTTGAGAAAAGATTTAGAGTTGTGTCTCGGGCTGGCCTTGAAGTCACTTCATAGCCCAGGCTGGCTCGCAACCTGCAGAGATCCACCTGCCTTGCCCTTCCAAGTGCTGGGAGTACAATGCATGCCACCCCGGCACAGAGAGGGCGTGAATCTTCCCAGGACATGGAGATCTTGCTCCATTGTCTCCCAACCCCAGTCTTCCCAACTCGATCTTCCTCTCTGCTAGCCTGAATGGTGTCTCCCTCGGGCCTCCAGAGCTGGCGCACCCAGCTTTATCCAGAAGGCGCCGTGCGCTCTGTGCTCTGAGAATGGGCACACTCTGTGCCCAGCTTCAGAGTGTGCAATTCACTCAGAAACAAAAAGTCATTGCATTTACTGTGTGCCAGGCACAGGATGAGACCCTGGAGACAGCATGCTTTTGAGAGCCGGGGAGGGGAAGAGAGCAAGCCCAGCGGGAGGGGAAGAGAAGGGAGCACATGCCCTAGGAGAATGGGAGCTGGAAGCGGAAGGGGGGCTGGAGCCTGTGTTAGTTGGCTCCTCCAGGAAGCTGCTGCCAAGACTGGGTTAGAAGCAAAAGAGATTTATTTGAGGAAATACTTGGACAAAGATAAAAGGAGAGGATGTAGAACTGGGCAGGGGAACCCTTCAGGCCATGTTTCAGCTCTGACATCTATGGGAAGGGAGGCAAGGAGAAGGCCTCGTAAGAGGAGGGTAGCAGATCTGAGCCAGCCAATGGCCACTGGTGTGAAGATTTCCTGTAGAGGAGCCCCATTTGGACCCAGCCAGCCCAGCCCCAGTGACCCAGTTGTTGTGTCAATAGCTGGAGGCTTCCCAAAAGGGCAGTGGTCTCCACCGCAGATCCTGAAGGTGCTGCCAGTGGCTCTCTCACAGTGACCAGAAGGGACCAGTGAGAGGGACAGAGACCTAAAGGACAGTCTCCCCCAGGACACCTCAGGCTACAGAGAAAGGAATGCTGGGTACAGAGCACACTTGTAAGAATCCCAGGTAGGGTCAGTCCCTGGCACTTCTGACCACAACTGTGCCCAGCTCCAAGCGTGAGGAAGTGAAGAATGAGACCCACAGAGACAGCTCAGCAAGCGGGAAGAAACACATTAGAGTTGATGCCGCAGCTTATTAGGGGGAGGGAGGCTGCTGGGGTGGCTCGTGCCTATAATCCCAGCACTTTGGAGAGGTAGAGGCAGGAGGACCAGGAGCTCACCCTCCTCAGCTACGTTGCAAATCCGCCTGGACTGACGAGACCCTGTCTCAGAGAGGAAGAAGAACTGAGGGGAAGAAAGAGATTATAGACACCATCTGACTCCATTGAGCCACGTTAGAAGCCATGATGGTTCAAAAATACGCACACGAATTCTTTGATACTCCTCCCTTCAAAGGAAGAGCCGACAACCCCTCGCTTGAGTAAAAGCTATACTTAGTGACTTGCTCTGACAGGTAAAATGCCCTGGAAGTGACATAACTTCCAGCTTCTGAAAGGTACTGCTTTTCTCCTTGCTCTTTCTCTGGAATCGCTCCCTCCGGGAGGGAAGCAGAGCCTGTCATTGCTCTTTGGGGCAGCGCTATGAAAAGGACCCAGTGAGAAGAGATGAACAGGAGGGTCTTGGTGTCTGTGCACAAACCATCTGGGGCAGTTCAGCTTTCACAGGAATACAGCTCTCTCTCTCTCTCTGCGCGCATGTGCGTGTGTGTTTGGGGGGTGTATGTGTGCCACTGTCCCTCTGTCTCTCTCTCTTTGTGTCTCTGTGTGTGTCTCTGTCTCTCCATCTCTTTCTCTGTCTCTCTCTCTTTCTCTCTCTCTCTGTGAATTCAAATACCATTCAATCCATCTGCTTAAAGTATACAAGGACTAACCAAGCTTATAATCCTAGCACTCCAGAGGCTGAGACAGGAGGACTGTGAATTTGAAAGTCAGCCTGGATTATATAATGGGACTCTGACTCAGAAAACAAAGCAAAATAAATCTTTTAAAAATGCAATAAGGTGTACAGTGCACATGGCTGCGTGACCGTCACCATTAATCTCAGAATGTTTTCATGATCTCCAAGAAAAACCCTGTATCTAGTAATAGTTATCCGGCCCCCTAGCACGCAGTGACTATGAATTGACTTCGTGTCCCTATGGAGCTATCTATTCCATACAGCTGTGTTAACAAGGGTATGTTCTGATAAATCCCTGGTTCGTGGCTTGGTCATTGGGCAAACATGACTGCGCTTACACAAACTGAAAGAGTTGAGTCAGTCCCTTGATGAGACTGCTGGATTCATGAAAAGAGAAGGTAATTACGGGGCTGCTGTTCCTGTAACAAGGCATACTGCTCTTACAGTAATTTCTTTGCAGGTAGAAGGAGTATACTCTAAAATAACAATAAAATAGTACAACAAACATATAAGCCAGCGTGACACAGCCACGTGTCATTGGCTAGCTAGTGCTACTTACTATGCATAATTGTATGTGCTGAACTTTCATAACTTGTGGAGCAGCAGCTGTTTGTACCATCGTCACCACAAAACATGGCTCCTGATCTGGGCTGCACTGTGCGTACAAATCACTAGGCAGCTGGAGTCTGCCAGAAATTTGAATCTTTTCGTAAATGGTTTTGGTGTTCTACTTAATTGTGTGCTTGGAGGGGAGGGTTGGACCCAAGAGTGTGGTTGCCCTGGGAGTTTAGGAGAGGGCGATGCATCCCATGGAGCTGGCTTTATAGGCGGTTGCCGCAGGCTGACATGCTGGGAGCTGAGCTCGGGTCCTCTGGCAGCAAGCCTTTTCTCTAGGCCCTCCGTGCTAATCTCACAGGACCGCTGAGAAAAATGCAGGGGAGCACTGTTGGGCAAGTTGGGCTGTCTAGGCCGCACCCAGACAGCCTCCTCTCGCTCGCATAGCCTTTGCTGTAGCGTAGCTTGTCCGTGTTATAGCGTGCAAGGGCACTTCAGGCCTTTACATTTAAAACTTGTATTTATGTTTATGTACGGATGTTTTGCGCGCATGTATGTGGAGGCGCACTTGGGCACCGCATGTGTACCTGGTGCCCACAGAGGCCATAAGAGGGCGCCAGATCCCCTGAAATCGGCGTTACGGCTGGTTAGGAACCGCACTGTGGGTCTCTCCAGCCCCATTTCATGCCTTTTTACAACTAGATAATATCCCATTTCTTTATGGATTTACCACGCCTTGTGGATCTATCACTCATGGACATTTGAGTTGTTTCCACGTTGGGGCTATTATGAATAGCGAAGTCATAAATGTGCACGTGCAAGCTTCTGTATAATTTATTTGCTTTGCTTGGGTGTATACCTACGGGTGAACTGGCTGAGCCACAGCCACTCTATGTGACGTTTTCAGGAAGTCTAAAGTGGCTATCTGACTTTATGATCTCCCCAGCAGCAGGAGAGATCGCTGACTTCTTGCCAGCGCTAGTTACTGCCTGCCCCTGTAACTGCCCTGTTGTGCAGCGGCATCTCATTTGCTTGCATTTCCCTCGGGGCTTATGAAGCTGAGCGAATCCACAGCCCACTGGCCATTTGTGTATCTGAAACCTCTGGGGAAATATAGCTTTTATATACCATTGTAACCTCATGAGCCTTGAATCAAAACCACTCAACTAAGCTACTCTTGAATTCCTGAACCTCAGAAATTGTAACACAGGTGTACACATGCACAAACACACACACACACACATGCACACAAATGCACACGTGCACACGCAAACACACACATGTACATACACATACAAACATACACACATGCACACACACACATGTGCGCATGCACACACACACACGTAGGTGCTGTAGGTGGTGCTAGGGATTGAATACGGACTCATGAATTTTAGTCAAGCACTTTGCTACTGACCATGTGTGTGTGTGTGTGTGTGTGTGTGTGTGTGTGTGTAAATCCAAATACCATTCAGTCCATCCACAAATGTATGCTTGTCGTGAAACACAAAATGAGGTGATTTCTAAGTTTATACATGCATACATATGGATTTGTCTATTTATTTATTTATGTTTTCTAAGACAGGGTTTCTCTGTGTAGCCCTAGCTGTCGTAGAACAGATGGCTCTGTGTTAAGTACACTGTCTGCTCTTCCAGAGGACCAGGACTTGATTCCCAGCGTCCACATGGTGGCTCAGTTCCAGGAAATCCAATACCTGCTTCTAGTCTTGATGGGTAGCAGGCATGCAAGTGGTATATAGACATCATGCCAGTAAAATACCCATACCTATGTGCATAAATAATAATAATAATAATAATAATAATAATAATAAAATTAGGTGCCTAAGATAATGCAGAGACTCAGTCAATGCAATGACATAAGAAAACATGTTTAATATAAATTTTGGAAAGGAAGAAACAAAACTGTCATGTTTCTAGATTGACTTTCTGCCTAGAAACCCCTGAAGCAGTGGCTCTGGGGAGATGGCTCAGTTGGGAAAGCACCTTTCACACAAGCATGAGAACATGAGTTTGGATTCCCAGAACTCATGTCAAGAGCTAGGCACGGCAGCACATGACTATAACCCCAGTACTGAGATGAGGATGAAGGGCAGAGGCCAGTGTATCTGTGAAGCTCATCGGCCAGCCAGCCTAGCTGAATCAGCGGGCTTCAGGGTCAATGAGGGACTTTGTCTCAAAATACAGTAGAGGGGCTGGAGAGAGACGGCTCAGCGGTGAAGAACACTTGCTGCTCTTGCAGAAGACCCGGGTTCAGGTCCCAGTTCCTACATGGTGCCTCACAACCATCTGGAACTAAAGTTCCAAGGGATCTGGTACCTTCTTCTGACCACCAAAAGCAGCAGGCATGAACTTACAGAACATGCAAAGCAAAACACTCATACACACAAGGTAAACATCTTTAGGGAGAAAAAGTGAAGAGCAACTGGGGAAAGATGCCGAACATCAACCACTAGCCTCTACAGTCATGCAGACGCATATGTACATTCTTCTACACATACCATATATACCACACCAGACACACACACACTAACCCTCCAACCAGCCCTTAGGTTGTATTAGGTATAGGGGCCAGGCTTTTCCTAAGGCCCTGATATGTGGAGAAGGAACATGGTCCCTAGGCTAAAACCAGGAACATGATTTGCAATGCCAGTAATGTCCTGAGACCAGGGCCTTGGGAGAGCTGTTGTTTCAGATCTGGGAATCTCAACGTTTCCCCCTTGAAGGCCTGTGACTATCAGTCCCAAGGCTGCTAAGAGTGAGGTCTGTGACACACTAGAGATATCCTGTGTCCCCTCTGTGCATCACTGATTGATTAACCTCCTGCTGACTTCATTGTTTAATGGCTTTCTGCTGACTGTGTCTCATTTTCCCCGACAAACCATATATAAGATGCTGTACTTAATAAACGTGCTTGGCATAAGCTATCAGCTTTTGCAACACCTCCCGGTCCTAACTTTCCTTTCTTCTTTATTTCCTCATCCCTGGTCCTCCTGCTAAGGACCCTGTCACTGAAGAACGCCCTGCTGGTCCACGTCATTCTGGTGTAGGGACAAAGTAGAGAAGGCTGAAATAGCTCAAGACAGACCTTAATCTGAGCTCAAATGTAAAACATGTTTTCATTTATTTAGTGTGTGTATGTGTATGGGAGGAGGTACATGAGCATGCCGTGACACACACGTGGAGGCCAGAAGGCAACTTGAGAGTCAGTTCTCTCCTTCTACCATGTGCATTCCAGGGATCAAACTCAGATTGCTTGGTGGCAAGTACCTTTACCCACTGGCCCCTCTCACCGGCTAACTGGTCATACTTTTGTTATTTGGGGCCAGGGAGGCTGATCAGCACCTAAGAGCTCTTTCAGCTCTTCCAGACGGTCCAAGTTCAATTCCCAGCAACAGTGACTCAACATTGCCCAAAACTCCTGCTCCTGGGGAATCTGATGCCCTCTTCTGGCCTTCAGTGGCACCTGCACCCACATGCACACATCCTCACACAAGCGCACAGCCATAACATCATTAAAAATAAAAAGAAATCCTTAAAAATATTTTTTTATTTCAAATTATAGTCATCTAGGTTCTGTAGAAACACATTCCTGCAATCCCAGCACAGGAGGTAGAGACAAAAGACTCAGGAGTTCAAAGTCATCAAAAATAATAACTTAACACGTATCCTGTGGTTTTGCTGGTACATCTGGCAACCCTCCCCAGCATGTATGAGGTCTTTAAGGAGTTCTCGGTGAGATGAATCCTTACCTGTCCCTTCTTTTGGAAGGCGGATAGAAAATGGTGATTAGAGTCCACACCATGTGTGGTCAGCCTCTCTGTGTAAATAGAGCCCACAGCGAGCTGGAGAGATGGCTCAGAGGTTAAGAACACTCACTGTTCTTCCAAAGGCCCTGAGTTCAATTCCCAGCAAACACATGGTGGCTCAAAACTATCAATAGTAAGATGTGGTATGAATGCAGGATGTTGTATAAATAATAAATAAATCTTTAAAAAAAATAGAGCCCACAGCACCTTGGTTGTCCTTTTCTGAGTCTCTGATGATCACATTTATTTACAGAGCCTGAGAGATGGCTCCTTGGTTAAGAGTAATTGTTCCTGGTGCAAAGGACCCAGATTCAATTCCCAGCACCTACACAGTGGCTCACAACCATCTATAACTCCAGTTCCAGGGCATCCAACACCCTCTTCTGACCTCTTCAAGTACCAGGTATGCACAGACACACACTCAGGAAAACACCCATAGACATAAAATTAAAATAAAATAAAAAAAAAACAAATAAGGAGGCCTGGGAGGTGACCTCACCCTCTAGAATAAAAAGGACAGGTGTGTAGGAAGCCTAAAAACTGAATCAGGACACTCAAGGGAGACCTGGCTCTAGAATGTGGCCTTTGTTTGACTAAATACTAGCAGTGCTATATACCCAAGGCCTCAAGGGCAGAGGGGTGTTTGTGTCCAGACCTAGGCTCTCTTGGCTGCTGGGATTTGGAAGAGGTTGTGATTGTCATCTAATGAATCCTTCTCTCCAAGGGCCTACTTAATAGATGGACATAGCTGTGCAGGGTTGGTGTGCCGGTAATCCCAACTGGAGAAGTGGAGGCTGCAGAACCAAGGCCAGCCTGGGCTACCACAGACCCCTGTCTCTTGCCAGCCCTGAGCAAGAGAACGCTAATGCAAACCACAGAGGTAACTTAAAATACTCTTGCTGTGGTTTAAAGTGTAAAAGGAAAAGCAGAAATTAATTTTAGCAATATATTTTATATAATCCACTGCACAAAATATTATTTTGACATGTCACTAACATTCTAAAATGATGAACAGGGTACTTCACAGGCCTTTTCATGCTGCCTCTAAAAATCTTCTAGGCAGTCTAGCATGGTGGTATTTGTATGTAATCCCAGCCCTCAGCAACCAAAGACAGGGTCAGAAGCTCTGTTCATTCTTAACTATGTACCCAGTTTGAAGACAGCCTGGGCTATGTGAGTCCCTGGCATGTGTGTGTATGCATACACACACGCACACACACACACATTCTGTATTCATTTCACACCTTCTGTATTGTTCAGTTTGGATTTACATCTCAAGCATTCACTAAAGAGTATAAAAAAACACAGCTCTGTGTATGCACGTGCATATGTGTGTCTGTCTGTCTGTCTGTCTGTCTGTCTGTTTCTCTGACTGTCTTTCTGTGAAGGTCTGTCTGTCTGTGTCTGTGCTTGTCTCCTATAGCCTGGTAGCCTTCACCTGGCTATGTGACTGAAGCTGGTCTTGAACTCCTGACCCTTCTGTATTCACCTCTCAAGCACTTGGATTGCAGGCATGTGCCCCTGCTTGGATCAGCCTTGTAGCCTGATGTGTCCAGTGTTTACTTCTGTAGAAATCTGAGGGGCTAAACAGGAGGCTGGTTTTTTTTGTTTGTTTGTTTGTTTTAAATTATGTCTAATGTTTGGGAGTGGGGAACAATTCTGACACTTCTGGCTGGAGTGTGGCTGGATAAAAGTGGGTTAATTTCGTGGGACAGAAGAGGTTGTGGGTGAACACAGGGGTACAGGGTTGTGGGACGCTGTGAGAATAAGGGCCTTTGTCCCTTTAAGTCTTCATTGCCTCAGGCACTGGGAACCAACCCCTTGAAGCCAGAGCTGTGTAGAGCATGGCTGCCACCTGGTGGCCTGATATTAGTGCCAGGGAGTCACAATGTCACCCACACTTACCTCTTGGGTCCCAGTCCTCTTGGGTCCAGGGTCTTCCAGACCCTGCTGTTGAGGGTGTGGGCATTCTCCCGAAATAGAACTTCCAGACTTAGAAAAACAAACACCACATCTGCGCAGGGGGCTGAGGAATGATGATCACTTGAAGATTCAAGGCCAGATGTGCATGGTGGTGCATGCCGTTGGTCCCAGCACTCAGGAGGCAGAGGCAGGCAGGTTTCTCTGAGTTCTAGGCCAGCCTGGTCTACAAAGCAAGTCCAGGACAGCCAAGGCTACACAGAGAAACCCTGTGTCAAAAGAGAAAGAGAGAGAGAAAGGAAAGGAAGGAAGGAAGGAAGGAAGGAGGGAAAGGAGGGAGGGAGGGAGGGAGGGAAGGAAGGAAGGAAGGAAGGAAGGAAGGAAGGAAGGAAGGAAGGAAGGAAGGAAGAAAGAAGGAAAGAAAGAAAGAAGGAAAGAAAGAAAGAAAGGGAAAATTCAGGGCCAGACCAGATAATAGAGTGAGACACATCTCTTTAAACAATTATTTAAAATTTGACTGAATTAACTTTGCATTTTAGGTTAACATTAACGACCTTTTAGTATAAGTTTGTCTCTGATGTTTAACTGATTGTGTGTGTTTGAGTATGTGTGTGAAACTTAAATGTGACTAGACACCCTTATTTTATTTAGATATCCTGCTTCTAGCTTATTCTCAGGGTTCCAGGAGAAAAACCACACTCTGAACTGTACTGGAGCAGGAGACTAAATAAGGATGCAATGGGCTGTGAGCTACTCTAGGAGCCACACCCGGAGAATAGAAGGAGTCTGAGGGCGGGGTTTAGGGAAACAGGCCTGAGGGCGATCAGCAAGCACTTAACTGCTTGCCCCAGATGTGGGGGGTAATACGAACCCAGTCATACTGCTCAGTGCTCACCTTCTGAGGAGCACCGAGAAGTGTCACTTTAGTGTCCCTTCTGACTGCACACATGGTTTCCTACCTTCCCCTCACAGTCGTGAGAAGAGCTCATGGGTGAGCCTGGTGGCCTGGCCATGCCCAGAGAGACCCATCTCCTCCACACCAGGTAAGGAGACTAAAAGAGGAGGTGGTGTAGCCTCCCACTACCTCCCAGAGCTGGGCTTCCTGGGCGCCTGGAACCCCCTCAGTGCACCAAACATAAGAACCAGAGGCTCAGAGAAGGGAAGGGAGCGAGTGGGTGGAAGGTTTCCTGGTCTAGGTGATTTCCCTCTCCAGGGCTGGAGTGAAAGCCAGAGCTGTTTTTAAAGCCTCGAATGCCTTTTGTTCAGTCTCAGTTCAGATGAGGGCCTCAGTGCCCCCTTTGTGGTGCTCTACAGAGGCCTTGCTATCTCCACAAACCCTGATATGCAGGGGCTGCAAAACCCAACCCTCTGTTTCTGTGTTTCTTCTCTCTCTGCATCTCTTCTCTTTCTGAGTCCCTTCTCTCTATGTCTCTTCTTTCTGTGTTTCTTCTTTGTTTTCCCTCTCTCTGATTTTCCTTTACTCTCTCCCACTCTCTGTTTCTCTCTCTCTCTCTGCTTTCCCTCTCTCCAACTCCACCCCCACTCCCAAGCTGACCCCAATAAGCCTACATTTATAAAGTAACTTGGCTTGAATTGGTTCGTCGGTCAGAAGAATGCTTATCACTAAGCACACCTGGGAACTCCCAAACCTGTCTCTTAGTCTTTGGAGTTGGGATCTGAAGGATGGCGCAGTCCTGCTCTGATGTAGGCTCCTTTTGCCTCCCCTCAGCCGGCAGCAGAGATAGGTAGGCCTTGGTATACAAGGTTTGGGCTTTTTTAGCCAACACTCTGTAGCCCAAGATCTGTAACTCTTGCAGCAGTCCCTCAGAGGCCCTTTTATAATCTATTTTAGTTTTAGAGGCAGGAGGAAGTCAACTACATATTATAAGAATATGGTCTTGAGAAATCTCTAATGGAAGGGCAGGAGGTCAGCTCTTAGTGCCTCATCAAACAGGCTGGGAAAGTTTCTAAATCCTTGGGGCAATGTGGTCCATGTAAGTTGCTCACTGTAACCTCCTTCTGGGTCTTGTCTATTTAAGAGAAAAGATTGGTTGACTCGCCTTTGCCAATGGGAGGCTGAAGAATGCAACCTTCAGGTTCAAGACACTTGTTTCTATGGTAGACTTAAACTCTTGAGAGTAGTTGGGTTTGGGACCAAGGTGTGGATGGCCTTGATCCTCTTATTCACTTCCCTCAGATCTTGGAGGATCTATATTCTTTCTTCATAGACAAGAGAGGCATTTTCCAGGGTGACTGGCAGGGCCACGGGATGCTTGTCTTTCTGAGCCTGGCAGTATGGACTCTAATTCCCCTTTTTGCTTCTGGGGACTTTGAGTATTGTTTAGTCTAGACGAGGATAGCTGAACTGGTTAACAGAACAATTAGGAGCTTGGTGTTTTCTGCCCATACCCCCAAGAAGTTTTGTTGTAAATATGAGAGACAGCCCAGCTGTATCTTTTGACTGGGGGGCAGGGCTTTTAGCTAGGAGATATTCTTCTGATAGAGGGCAGGATACCAAACTCTTGCTTGGTGTCTGGAAGTCTACGTGGATCCCATCATCAGAGAAGGTGTCGCTGGCTTTCAGCTTATGCAGAGGGTCTCATTGGAACAGTAGGTAGGGACAGTCCTGTGTGACCAAGAATGAGTGGGTGACTGTCTCCTAGGTCTATGGAATGGGTTAGTGGTCTAGGGGTCATTTTTCCTATTGCCCCCCCTGGACAATCTTATGATAAGTCAATTGTCCTAGGGGCTTCTTAAGGACTGAATATGTTGCCCCGGTGTCTACTAAGAAGTCAATTGTTTGGTCCCCAACTTTTAAGTTTTGCCCTAAGGCTCCTGAGTGCTAGAGTGTGGGAGCCTGGGCCCTGTTACTTTTCTAACCATGGTACTTGTGGGGTCTTCTTCTGATCAGGGCACTCATTTCCCCTAATGTCCTTTCTTCTTGCAATTGGCACATGCTCTTTCTCTAACAGTGGCTTGCTTGTTTCCTGGCCTCCTTGTCATCTGTTTCACCAGACTGGTTTATTATCCGGATTTTCTCACAGGGCCGCCACTGTGGCTTTAGTATGTCTCTTTTCCTTCTAGCTCTCAATCAGTTCTCTGTTGTTAAACAGTTTTGAGACACCTCCGGCAACT